TCGATGTAGCTGTCGGGTCTTGAACCGTAGGTCTGTCGAGTAGGGGTCATAGTTGTGTAGCGGCCGTAGCTGTAGCAATTCTGAAAGGTCAAGGTCGTAGCTGCTACAGTCCTGAAAGGTCAAGGTCGTAGCTGCTACATTTCCGAAAGGACAAGTCCGCGGGCTTCTGGAAGGTCCGGAAGTGGCCTTTCGAACGTTGCTCACAGCAGACCAGAGGCAAGTGGGCAAGTGGTGAGTCCAACCTTGCTTAGTCTCGCTTAGTCCAGTCAGCAAGTAACATGTGGGACTGTGTGCACCAAGGGCCCAGTGGAAAAGGGGCAGACCAGTGACCAACAGAAGTATAAATCAAGAGGCAGCGTCCAACCATTCATTCATTCTGCTGTGCGCCATGTGGAAGCGCTGCCTGAGCGTCTTGTGCGAGGTGGTCTACAGATGCCCGGGGTCGAAGTGGGCCGTGAAGAAGATTGAGCGCCATAGTTAGTAGTAGCCGGCGGCCATAGCTGGCATAGCTAGTGTTAGGTGGTAGTGTGTGTGTGCGTGTGTGATACAGAGTGAACGCGTGTGGGGTATTCAGGGTGATCCAGAGTTGAGTGTGTGCAAACGGGGGTTGTGGACACAGTGTCAAACGCCGTATCCAGTTTGAAGCGAGTTTGTATCTGAACTGTGTTCTCGGTCTTCACATCTCTGAGCTTTGTGTGGGCGCCTGGCGCCAGTTTGGATTTCATCTGTTTGCATGCATGCGAAGAGGAGCAGAAAGCGAGTCTGATTTCAACCACAGCAAAAAAAGGGAAAACGAATCTCGGTTAAAAAAAAAAAGCCGACTTTTTTTCCCGCCTAAAAATGAAAAACAAATAACAATATTCAAGGGGGGAAAAGTACTGTTGGTTTGACGCCCATTATATGACAAGAGTCTCATGACTTTTGTGCTCTTTATAATATTTTAATCTTCTGCTAGGGATGGAGCCTAACCACTGACCCGGGAAATGAAAACGGTGCCAAGGCCCTATGCCGCCATAAATTTTTGATCCTCCTACAGGCCACCGTGAAAAAAAAGAAAAAAGAAGAAGAAAAAAATAAAAATGTAAGGCCCCTGGAATCCAGGGGTACCAGTTCACTGGGTACCCCACCTGTTTTGAAAAAAAGACTGATTGTAAATGTGAAGCCTCTGATAATGGAGGGGTTACCAACTCGCTATGTAGGTATGACCTGACTGACTGAGGCAGTTGAGTGTCGCGTCCGTCAATGTGCATGCCTGATCCTTCTACTTCACGTCTTTGCGCGCCCTGGTATTTCAAATGACTTGTATAATTCTATATGGGACGCTGGGCCCGGTTCCCAGCACGTGCTGGTCCCCATGAATAGACTGGAGCTTTTGTCCCCCCCGCCCCTCCAAAAAAAAAAAAAAGTCCTGTGATGATATATATTATATATTGTCACAGCCCCTCGTTTGTTGTCCTCTTCTCTCTCTCTGCCTACGGTTTACCGGGCAGTTCTGTTTGTGACGATATATATATATATATATATATAATGACGATACGCCATGCTCTACCAGGTGAGTTGTTTAATCCTCCATCCCGCATCTCTGCCTGCATTGTGCATGGGCCTGGCCATTACATGGCTATTGTACAC